TGGTGTCTCAGACATGAAAACTAATGCATGAGATGAGGAATGTTCAGTGTCACTAGTCAGTGAATTGATTGTCACAAGGACACTGTCCAAAGAGAAACAAGGGCGAGGAGAATGTGTTCCTGAATGTCGCCTGCCAGCCGTCCTCTTCACCAAGCTGGTCACTTCAGACAGCTCACCCTGGTTCCTTTTATTCTCTTCTTTTTAGTGTCCCACCCGCCCTCTTCCAACTCCTACCGTCCCTGGGCTTCTCCGGCTCTGCTGTCTGATTCATCCCTCCTGCTTCTGTGCCCACCTCTCGTAGTGACCTTTGCTGAGTCCTTTGTGGACCCCACGCAAGTCGGCTTCTCCGTGAGCTCTACCCGTGGGCCCTAAGTGTACAGTTCAGCAGTGTCAAGTACATTCATATTGTTATGCCACCAGTCTCTGGAAATCACTTCATTTTGCAGAACTGAAACTCTGTCCCCATTAAACAACTTCCCATTCTTCCTCCCCCTAGATCTTGGCAATCTCCGTTCTACTTTCTCTTTCTCTTCTCTCTGACTTTGACCCCTCTAAGTACCTCATATGAGTGAAATCAGACAGTATTTGTCTTTTTTGTGACTAGCTTATTTCACTTAGCACAATGTCCTCAAGGTTCATCCATGTTATAGCAGGTATTCTTATTTTTGAGGCTGAATAATATCCCATTGTGTGTGTGTGTGTGTGTGTGTGTGTGTGTGTGTATGTGTGTATATATATAAATATATATACACATTTTATTTAACCATTCACCCACTCATGGACAATTTGGGTTTCTTCTACCTTTTTGCTGTTGTGAATAATACTGCTATGAACGTAAGTGTACAAATACCTCTTTGAGGCCTTGCTTTCATTTCTTTTGGGTATATACCCAGAAGTGGAATTCAGCATGATCATATGGTAATTCTGTTTTTAATTTTTTCATGAGCCTCTACGCTGTTTTGCATAGTGGCTGCACCATTTTACATTCCCACCAACCGTGTACAAAGCTTCCAGTTTCCCCACGTTCTCGCCAACGCTTGTTATTTTCTGTGTTTTGGATAGCAGCCATCCTCATGGGTGCTATCTCATTGCAGTTTTGATTTGCATTTCCCCAGTGATTAGTGATGTTGAGCATCTTTTCATATCCTTTTTGGCCATTTGTATATCTTCTTTGGAGAAATGTGTATTCAGGTTCTTTGCCCATTTTCAATTGGGTTGTTTGGGTTTTTTTTTTTTTTTTTTTTTGAGACAGAGTCTCATTTTGTTGCCCAGGCTAGAGTGAGTGCCGTGGTGTCAGCCTAGCTCACAGCAACCTCAAACCCCTGGGCTCAAGCAATCCTACTGCCTCAGCCTCCCGAGTAGCTGGGACTACAGGCATGCACCACCATGCCTGGCTAATTTTTTCTATATATATTAGTTGGCCAATTAATTTCTTTCTATTTATAGTAGAGATGAGGTCTTGCTCAGGCTGGTTTCAAACTCCTGACCTTGAGCGATCTGCCTGCCTCGGCCTCCCAGAGAGCTAGGATTATAGGCGTGAGCCATCGCGCCTGGCCAGTTTTTTTTTTTTTTTATTGTTGACTTGTCTCAGCTTTCTTTGTGGAGGAAGGTTTCACCCTTCCCTTGGCTGCATCTCCTTCCTTTCTCTGGTCTGTGGACCTGTCATTTATACAGAGCCCTTTGGTGGCACTATTGCCACCCTAGTCACCCAGACTAGAAACGTCAGGCTACTTTCTGACGCCCTATATCTTATTTCTCATTGTCAGTTGGTTGTCAAATCTGTCAGTTCTGTCCCCACCAGATTGGTTTAATCCACTCTCTCCCTTCTGGCATGAGAGCCACCTCCCTGGATCCAGGGTGTCCCGTGCAATTGTGCCACTGTATAGTTTGGAGTTGACTCATCTCTGATGTCTGGTGAAATCTCAGGGTGTGGTGGCGTGGGCAAAGGGTTGCATAAAGTTTGAAGGAACATGGTTAATAATATGATATTTTATGTTTGGAAGACAAAAAAGAAAATGAAAATGAAAAAACATATTTTTTATAATACATGAAATAAAGCTCAATAAAACATTCTTCTCTTGGGCTGTACAAATGACAGATTATCTTTTGTGAACAGCAGTTTACAATATTGATAACTGATATGAACTAACAGACCTTTATTGAGCACTTAATATATGCCAGGCACCAGGTGCTTAGCACATGTTATCTCTTTCAACCATCACAAGAGTCTTATCACCCAAACAGAGAAGCTGAGGCACTGAGAGGCCCTGAGTCACACACACCTGGTAAGCGGTCGATGGGGTGCTCAAACTCTGCCTGCCACAGCGAAGGCCTCAGAACACCTGGCCTTCTGGAAGGGCCCAGGCTCCTCATCTTCTACCCACTGCCCCACCCCTCACCCCCAGTTTTGCCACCTGTAGTCTCTGTCTGCACCTTCATGGGTGATTCCCAAGGTGGGTCCAGGTATCTTCTCAGCTGTACCACTTGCGTAGACTTGTGTGGACTGCCACTCTGCAGTGCCCCCTCCATCGTCCTGTCCTGCTTCTGTCGTCTTTACAGAGTCACCTCGGTGCTGTTTCCTCCATGAAGACTGCTGCTCCCCGAGGCGGGATGCCTCTCCGGCCCCCTGCCAGCATCTCGCCTTAGTGTCTAGACGTGTTCCTCTTTCTTCCCTACTAGACCGTAGGCACCTCGAGACTAGATTTGCCTGTCGAGACCTAAGCGCTTCGCTATTCCTAGTGCCCAAACAATAAGCCAGGTATTGCCCAGACGGAGGCTCAGGCAATCATGAACCCAGAGCCGCAGTTTTGACTCTGAATTTTTGTGAGTCGACCAGAGTTCCCATCCCCAGAACAGAACCCAGCAATCTTTCCTCCGTAAGAAATCATCTGTCAGACACTCCAGCCTCCCTCTTCTCTCTGCACCCAGCGAGGTTCTCTTTGCAGAGCTTTGCTGTTTCTCCTGGCAGCCGAAGTTTTGTCAGGCGGAGGGGAAGGCGCGCTCCCCCCGTGCTGACGCGAGCAGTGGCCAGGAGAGGGGTCAGGGAACAGGCCTGTGCCTGTGGGGAGGCGGGGTGGCCAGAGAGGCTGCCTGGCTCTCCTGCCTGGCTCTCCTGCCTGGCTCTCCTGCCTGGCTCTCCTGCCTGGCTCTCCTGCCTGGCTCTCCTGCCTGGCTCTCCTGCCTGGCTCACCAGGAGTCTGTCCGTTGAGGCCGATTCCTGGACCTTTGTTGGGGGGTGCTCTGTGGAGGTGCGGCCGGGCACCCTGCTTTTCATTTGTGTTTCTCCAGAGGTAACCACAGCGATGGGTGACTCGGCAGGGAAAGTGACTCAGTCATGGCATCAGAAGAAAAACTCAGTTTTTAATTTTTTTTCTCTTCCAGAAGCTCAAGTGTGTATTAAACTAAACTAAAATTAAATATTAGTTTAATTTTAGTTTAATTAATCCTACCATTTAGGTTAATAATTAATAGTTTAATAATTTTAGTAATTATTAATAGTATTATTTTAATATACTAGTAATATTCTAGTACCAATTAATAGTTTAATAATAGTTTAATAATTAATAAATAATTTAATTAATCCTACCATTTAGTTTAGTATTTAGTTTAATAGGTTAGTATTTCCAGTCTTATTCAAAAGGCTGCTTCTCCTTTCCTCTCTTAACAGAAGATTTCCTTTAAGTTGCCCAAGATGTCTGGTTGCATCTTTCTGTCCAGCTCGTCCTTGTCCCCTCCAAGTTTCGTCCTCCTGCCAGGCACATGTGACTCCTCTTGCCTTGGCTGTGTTGCCTCGCCCGTGCTCTGCAGCCATCTCCAGATGGCCTGTGTGGCAGATGGCCAGGTGCCCTGAAGGTGCCCAGCTCCCTCAGGCCTCGCCACATTGGTGTCCTTGCCCTTGAGGCTTGGGTGTAAAACTCCCCTCGTCGGTCGAGATTGGCTCCTGATGGTGACCACAGCCTGGAGACTTTGGGGTTCTTGGGCCCCAGCACACAACGGACAAGACCTCACTCTTTGTTGGGAAGCATCTGGCTGGTGGGTGTTTGACCCAGCTTTGGGCATGTTGACCTGCTGGCCACCTTCAGGACCCAACAGGGGACTGGAGTAGGAGAGAGAAGCCAGCACCGCGACCATGGGGCTCTCTCCAGCTCTGTGGGACGTGTGAAACTCACCAAAGCAAAGTGAAAGTTGTGAAATCCAAGTGACGCAGTCCCCTTTTGAGAACGTCTTCTAAGCCTCTTTAAGAAAAGCTTGAAATATTGAGAACATGTAAATTGAGGCAAAAAAAAAAAAAGAAAAGAAAAGCTTGAAATAGACTGCTGTATTTTTCTTCTTGTGTTTCAGATTATTTTGATGCACATAAATAACTTTACTCCCATTTTCTCAGACTTGTCTAACTCTTAACTCTTCGTTTTTGATTATCTATCTGGAAAAGCATGGACAAGTCTCTAGTTTATAATGTGGGGTTCAAAGGAGGAAATTGGGCAATAATTTTATTATTACAGTTCTCTGATTAATGAGGAAAGGCATGATCAAATGTCATAAGTAATGGAATGGTTCACATGATCTGGGAACATTTTCTTTTTTCGTTCCAATGTGAGACATAAGAGAATAGTAGGGTAATATCAAATACTGCTGTATATTCACAAAATCTGCGCACATTTTTAAGTATTGCTGGGTAAATCCTAAAAGGAACCAAAGACATATGACTCTGAATTTCAATGCTTCTTCCTGTGTGTAAACAGGGAGGCGTTTCCCCCACGAGTCTGTGTTGTGCTTGGATGGGTTTGAAGATTGGGGTTAGGGAAGCCCCTTTTCAGAACTCCTCCTTAGACCTGAAAACTCAGGGCTCTGCTTTCAGATAAGTGCCTCCAGAGGAAGGAATGTGTAGATGGCATTTTAATGTAGCATTTTGGCCTTTGACAAATGTGTGAGTGGAGGAGCTTGAGGCAGGAGATGCCAGCTACATGCACAAAGCACCCACGTGTGCCTCCCCTTCCCAGGTGCCAGCAGACGTTGAGAAATGCCAGGATCGGATGGAGTGTTTCAACGCTGATCTGAAAGCTGACATGGAAAGGTGGCAGAACAACAAGAGGCAGGACTTCCGGCAGCTGCTCATGGGGATGGCGGACAAGAACATCCAGTATTATGAGAAGGTAATGAGTTTGCCCAACAAGACCCTGTTTTCTAGAAGCTGGAGCCTTTCGTAGGGGCCCGCCAGAAGTCCAGGAGCAGGGGTCCTGCTGGCATCACCTTCTCCCCTCATTCGATCTCACTCTCAGCTGCCCCTTTGTGCCCTTGCCCAGCTGTGCTGGCTGTGGCGCCCAGTTTGGAAGCAGAGGCCCCGGGACACACAGGGGTTTCCTTTGCAAATGCCGCCAGTGGAAGCAGCAGTTTTACCCTCCATGCTCTTTGGGCCTGGCGCCTGGTTGCTCCCCAGAGTCAGTCGGACCTAAAGTCGGCAGGTAACGCAGGCTGTGGGGTCATTTTACACTGTCTTGCAGTTCTGGATACAGGGGTTCTTCACTTTCATTGTGCCATGGGCCCATTGGTGATCAGGCGAAGCCTGTAGACCCCTTACCGAAATACTGATTGTTTTTAAAATAAACTTTAAAATACTGTTTTCTTTTTTTTTTTTTTTTTTTTTTTTTTTTTTGAGACAGAGTCTCACTTTGTTGTCCAGGCTAGAGTGAGTGCCGTGGCGTCAGCCTAGCTCACAGCAACCTCAAACTCCTGGGCTCGAGTGATCCTTCTGCCTCAGCCTCCCGAGTAGCTGGGACTACAGGCATGTGCCACTATGCCCGGCTAATTTTTTATATATATATATCAGTTGGCCAATTAATTTCTTTCTGTTTATAGTAGAGACGGGGTCTCGCTCTTGCTCAGGCTGGTTTTGAACTCCTGACCTTGAGCAATCCGCCCGCCTCGGCCTCCCAAGAGCTAGGATTACAGGCGTGAGCCACAGCGCCCGGCCAAAATACTGTTTTCTTAATACCTTAAATAAAGGCATGTAGGATTACAAAGGAAAACAGTTTTATTCATGGATCCCTTTGATCTGTGGACCTCAGGTTAAGCACCCTGGCAGCTGTACACATACACACAGTCTGTCTCTGTCTCTGTCTCTCTGTCTCTCTGTCTCTCTCTCTCTCTCCCCCCCTCTCCTTCCCTCTCCCTCTCCTCTCTCCCTCTCTCTCTCTGACTGTCCACAAACTACAGCCCAGTCTCCCCAATCAAGGTTTGCTATATCGTTTCTGCTAATGAATCCCAGTATTCCTTAAAAGCTTAAAGTTACAGATGAAGAATGGCCCCATCACAATTGAACAAGTATTAATAACTTGTAGACTTGAAATCAAACTGTTGGAGCCTCCCAGCATGCTGGACAAGTATTAACTTGGCTGCTCACACTACGATCCTGGGAGCACGTCCTCATCCCAAACCAGAAGAAGTGATCTCTTTTGAAGGCTTTGGTGGCTCTGGCTGCTGTTCAGGTGCAGTGAGTCTGCATCTCATCAAAGTCATTCGTAGGAGAGCTCAGGAAGCCGTCATGGAAGGTTCCTTACTTGTCAGGTCCTAGGGAGAGGGGCAGTTTGGAAGCAGAAGGAGAAGGGTGGCGTGCTCCTCTTCTCACTCTGTTTATGGAGCCCTGTGGTGCTGGGCTGGCCCTGGGCTGGGTGGGGGCTTTGCATATGTCACCTTAAAATTTAGCTTTCACTATAGCACCATCACATGGGTTTTATGATTCCCAATTTAAAGCTTAAGAAACAGGCTCAGCAAGGTTTTAAGCTCTGTCCAAGGGTGCATAGCCTGTTGGTGACCAAAGTAGGGTCCGAGTGGACTCTGATAGGTCCACAAATCTAAATGCTTCTGACACACTGGCAGCCTAGGGGACAGGGGCCACCTGTCCTCAGGACAGTCCTGCCTGCCCAAAGGTGGGAAGATCACTCCATGTGAAGTCAGAGCCTCTTTCATTTCTCTACTGATTATACCCTTAGGCGAGGTGCCTTTCGTGCCTCTGTTTCTTCATCCGTAAAGTGGGAGCAATCCTTCTCCACCAAACGATTGTAAAGATAACATGAAATGATGGATGCATGAGTACCTAGAACACTCCTGGAACATGGTGGGCCCTCAGTCAATGTGCCTTCCCTCCTGACTCCCTCACTTTCCCTGCCCTGTTCAACGGCCTTCCCACTACTGTAGAACCAACTAGATCAAATGTCTCCATCACTTCTCTCAGTGATTAATCCCACCATTTCCAAAGCCCTGGTCCGAGGACCCGTCTGCCTACTGCACCACGCACAGGGGCACTGTCCCCGCCTAGTCCTGGCTCCTACAAATACTTAACGGGTTCTTTTTGTGCACTTGCTATGCGCAGGGGACTGTATGTACAGAATTGATAACAACAGGATTCCTGCCCTTAAGGCAGCCCCCATCTAGTAGAGGATGTGTGTTAAGCAAAACACCCGAAACTTCAGGGCAAGATAAGGAAAAGAACAGGAACCTGTGGGAGAAAGTACAACGGTGGGGGAAGAGGCTGATGGAGTGGGCAGGAAAAGCCAGTCTGAGGAAAGAACATTTAGGCTGAGTCTCAGAGACAAAGACTTGAGGAAACATATTTTCCAGGCAAGGGGAACAACATGTGCAAGGTCCCCAGGGTAGGAAGGAATGTGGTGCATTTGAGGACCAAAAAGGAAGCTAGCATGGCCTCGATTCCTCGTGGCTGATGTAGGAAGACCCTTCCAGACGTGAAGTGATGGCCGAGGGAGAGAACAGGACCCAGAATGCCACGGACCATCTGACTTCCTTTCTAACCTCAGAGTCACCAGGAAGGAATCAGGGAGCAATTTCGCTCCCCCTCTTTCCTGCTTGACCTAAGGATGCCTCTCTCCTCCCAGCTTCTCAAAACTCCTCCCCAAATGACTCAGGAGTAAATCCTCCAGCCCTGGGCTACTTCTACGAAAGGCTTCCTGCGGTTCACCTGTCCTCGTTACGCAAGAGACTGCTCGAAGGGAGGATCATTTCTGCCAAACAGGGTGCTCTCAGAGGACCATAGCAGAGTCTTCCAGGTTCTTGGCCTTTCATAGGATCTGGAATGCAAAGAGATTGGCGTAGTGGAAAGGACGTCAGTGTGGGAGCCATGAGCTCTGCCACGTGTGGGCTGTGTGTCTGGGCCCATTGTTTTTCCTGAGTCCTTATTTCCCCATCGATGAAATGGGCGTGTATGTGTGTAATGAATAATAATTCTGCTTCATGGAGGAGAGTGAGGACTGGTGATATGAATGGAAAGTACACAGCAGTGTTTGAATGTAATAAAACTCAAGTCCCCTTCCCCATTCTCCGTTTCTGGAGATCCAGGAGTGGCCCAGACAAGCAAATCTGAGGCTGGTGAGTCAGTGGCTGGCCTGTTCCAGTTATGACTGACGTCCTTAGGTAAGCACCACCCACACCTGCAGCAGTGTCTCCATCCTGCTGGCACCTGGCCTAGGGCTTCATCACGGGCTTCCTGCAAGGTCTCTTTTCTGCTTTTTCAAGGGAAAGAATGTCATCTAGTGAATCCACTTTCACTCTCTGGATCTGAGCTTTCTGGACTGACATGGATGCATTTAAGCCTTTTAGAGACACTGCTGTCTTTTGTCAAGGTGGGGGTCAGGCATTCAAAACAAACACCTGTCACCTCCCCTGTGTATCCTGGTTCTGGATGATGCATGCAGGTGTGTTCAGCAAAGGTGACCCAGCAGGATTGATGATGAAAGGGTAGGTCAGAGCAGAACTAAGAAGTTGACCCTGAACTCTGAAACTCGATGCTGACACCGTGTGTGCCTGTTGTTGTTTCAGTGCCTCATGGCGTGGGAGTCGGTTATTCCGCTGCTGCAGGAGAAACAAGAGGCCAAGTAAGTTCCTTCCTGGGACGGAGACTCTTCTACCTACACAGGGCACGGCACCCTGTACCGGAAGTCCCCGCAGTGCCAGAGAGGCGACGCTGGGAAAGCCACCACAGAAACATCTCTCCTTTGTATTCCTCCCTCCCCCCACTTCGCCCCACAGTGGTTTCCCATTAGTATTTATTCCTTGGTGGATTCCGTGAGGCGGGAATCATCTCTCAGCAAAAGCAGAGCCTACCTCCGGGTTGTGAAGGGACCTGTCGGATGGAGCACCATGGAGATTTGAAACCGAAGGACAAGAGCCCGCAGCCGGCATCCTGGCATTTCATGACGGTGTTCTCTTTGGGCACAGCTGAGTCGCCTGTTGTAGGGGAGAACCCAGATCCTGCTTTTCAAGGACTCGGAAGGAGGCAGGAGTAGAAGGCAGCGGTTGCCTTCTGTGGACACATGGACTTCTGTGGGCACTGGCTTGTGTCCGCCTGGAAGCAGGTGTGGGCACCTCCGTGCAAAGTCCTTAACGTACAGTGGCCTCGAGCTGTGAGTGTGGCCTGCTGCCTGCTTGTGACGAGTGCTGCCTGTTTTACTGTTTCTGTTTCATGTAGGGACATTCGAATCAGTGTCGATACGCACCCATGCTTGAGGGAGCGAGCCAGCGTCCTTGTCCTCATGCGATGCCTTCAGAAGCTGCAGGGGATACTCCCCGGACTTGCTTCTGACACTAGAATGCAATAGATGGGAAACTTTTTGTGTTAGAATGAAACAAAACGGTGCATTTTTCTCTGTGAAGGTCTTCAGTGTCTTTCTTTAGCTTGTTAATTGTCATCAGAGCAGGGATTAGATCTGTTAGGGAATACCTATTGTCTTGAAGTCAGAGTAGCTCACCTGTTGTTGAGATCAGTGGGCATATACCAAACCCCACCTCCAGCGTCTGCTTTGTGCAATTTGCCTTTACCTCACCAAAAAGACCTAGTTTAATATTTCCTACCGTGTCCGCTGAATGTTTGGGCAAGCTTTTGGTGAGAGGGCCTGGAATGTCATGTTGTTATGACACGGTTGAAATTTGTAAACTCCATGTGAATGTTCTACGTAAAGTGCTTTAACTCTTAACATTTCCTGGTCAGGAAGAGACGTCAGTACCTGGACAGGCCTCGAAGATGACAAGTGTAACAGCGAACTCTTTGCTTCTATTAATAGTTAAGCTAAAATCTCCTCAGTTTGTAGCCATGTTCTTGGGGACTGCTGGCTGTGTTTAGAGTCTTCATTTCAAACTATTACAAGGTTTACTTTTCAAATCACAAAACAGTCAAAAAGGATCTATCTTCCAACTCATTTTTTCCCTCCTGAAATGGAGCTACATGTGTCATATTTGTGTTCTTTCATCTGCAGCTCATCCCTGTAAAACTATAAGTCTAAGCCTGATAAGCGGTAGTTCTTAATGAAACAGCTGTGTGTTGAGACACTGCTTCTTATGCAAGTTCCCCTGTGAATCCTGGCCAACATGCGGCATGTTGAAGTCACTTCATGCCACTTCTGACTACAGGGTCGACCTTGCATCGGCCACAGCTACAGTGCTGTTGGTGCACCAGTTGAACAGCATAGAGAATAGTTGGGTTCCATTTCATCGAGTTTGACAACTTCCCAGTTTAAATGATAATTTTTACATCAGTTGGTACTTGCCTGTATTGTCAAACCCTATTCGTGCCATTCCCAAATCCTTCGATGTGAATTTTCAGTTCGGTACAATTAGAAATGATTCATTGGAGCAGAAGGGTAAGAACAACTTATCTACCCCTGTGTGGCGATTCAGCATTTCATTCTACCTCTAAACCATCGTGTGGGTATGGGTGTGGACGCTGTCCGAGTGTGTATCTAATAGTGAGCTGACAGCCCCCGTTGCTATTTGGCAGAAGGCACCAGACCAACCCAGCAGCGAATGCTCATCCTCACGGGGAGCATGTGAAGCTTTGGCTTGAGGAATGTGTGCTGTGAAAATGTTGTCCAGTGTAATGAATGCTTGGGAAGAACTGTGGAAGGAATTATAGGAAAACTAGCCTCTGACTACCTGCTAGTTGCTGAAGCCCAGAAAATTTCCTAAGTAATGGTTCATTGGGAAAGAAGCAGCATTTAAAAAAAAAAAAATTACCAGGTTCCTCACTGGTGGATACGGAGAGGGGCATGGGTTTGTACATTTATATGCTGTCCTCATGGGAGGCAGAAGGCTGGCTTTAAAGGGATTCGGGCACCTTGGGATTCCATCCTCTATTTATTTGGTCCCCATGTGATGCCTTGTGCTTTTAAGACACCAGAAAGAGCCAGAACAAGGCGAACTTTCTATCTTCCAGGCATGCTATTGACAGCAGAGCCAGGAAAACCAGTGTACATGACAGACTTCCTTGGAGAAATGGTCCTTGTGGAGAAGGGACTCTTGTCCCTGCCTTCAGGCTGGCATCTGAGGGGGTGAGGAGGCTGGCCCAGAAAGAAGGGGACAATAAGTAGTCCCTTCCTACCCCCAGGATCCCCCAGGCGTTTGCCTCTTCATCTGGATCAAGCACAGAGGAGACTCTAGGAGAAATGTCACTTGGAGACTTTGGTGCCAAAGACTGGCTCATAGAGGTTTTATCACCCAGTCCTTCTTGGCTCCACAGAATCGTGGCCCTGAGATCACTGTCTCCTCTCTCACATTTGTTTTTCATGAGGTTTCTGCTTGGAGGTGCACTTCACCTCAGGCAGAGGGATGTGGACGGTTTTGAGGCATGAACACGTGGCAGTGGAATGGCAGGTCCCCCGGGAACTGCTCCGGGCCTGGAAAACAAAAGCTTCATTCACCCAGGTTAACTATCCAGGCTAAGGCAGGAGAGAGGATTCTTGGAAACTAAGCAGATTTTAGAGATGCTAGCGAGGTTTCAGAGAGCAGTTGTGATTTGTAGCAAGTGTGGACGCTGCTTTTCCTTATGAACATGGTAGATCCACAAGAAGATTCTAGGCTGTTCTACTACTCAAAGCAAGGAACTGCTTCTTAAATGAAGAGGGAACCTACTACCCAGCCAGGTTTGGTGTTGGGTCTTATCCTTCAGTGAGGCTTTATAATGATTCCTGGTGGACTTAAAGTGTGACTGTGGAGGCGATGGGCTCGGTATTTCACTGTGCCATCCTTTCAACTCACTGGACACCTTTCTTTAGCTGGAATAATAAACCCGAGAGACTCCAGGTATTGTGGTGAATGTAGACTAAGTCTGTTTTCATGCCACATTTCAGCCCTACCTGGACTATGTCCTAGATGTTACTGAGTTGAATGTGTTTTCTCAGCTACCTCCACATGGTGAAATGAAATGCATACCTGCTGCTCACTTCTTGTGAGGCTGCCTTTTGTGATCAAAAGATAGGAGGACATGATGACCACGTGGCAGTCAGCAACAGAGTTTCTCTCTTGGGACATAGCCTAAGGAACGTCCGGAGTTTGTGCAACTTGGTCCTTCCACCGATGGCTTTGAAATCACAGGCACTGGCTTCGTTTTGACACCACACACTGGACTGCAAGGCAGTCATTCTCTGTGCTCTGTTCCGAACCAGTGAGCGAGGATCGGGGGAGAGGTCAAGGGTGGCCTCTTCAGCGTGGGTCTCGGGTGGGCTCGTGCTGGGCTCTTCTCTGGCTAGCTGGCGTTGCTGGCTGCCATGCAAGGCAGTTCCGCTTGGAAGATGCACTGCCTGTGGTCAGGGCAGGGCACCCCTCATGCACCCCGCCTTCCCCGACGCCTACTTTAAGGGCCTGTGGAAACTGGGTCATCTAATTATATGGCTGGGGTAACGCTGCTTTGGCCACCCTCATTTACAAAATGATGATGGGGATTTGGATTTGCTGTCTCACTTTCAAAAGTCCTCAAGATGGCAACAGATTGGACACACCCTCTCATTTCTTATGTTTTCCTCTCTCTGTTCAGATAGCAGATGGGTGGCATTTTTCAGTAAATGTAAGGAAAATGTTCTCTCCTGGGCGAGCCTTACAGATTGAGTTGGGTGTGTTGGAGTTGTTCTCCTCTTCCTTGTGGTTTTTTAGTTGAGTAAATTAAATAAACCTGGAACCCGGTTTTTTACCAACCCACCCTATAGGTTGTCAGGGTTTGTTTTAGGGATGTCTGGTCTCCCCGTAGTTACACGTGTCAGAGTGTGCTCAGGGGCTGTGTGCACTAGAAATGGTTGGGTGGCCTTGCTACAGGGAGATTGTTCTTTCTTAATCATTTGTGTTTGAAATGCATCCTGGGTGTGGCTGTCTAAACCTTTTCATGTGACAGAAAAATATGTTATCTAGGTAGTTTTTGCTACTATAGCCAGTCTATAAGTGCTTTGAAAAAATAACCTTAATAAACCAATAAGAAATTTGTCTCATATATAAACATTCTGTGTATTTGGCACTTGAAAATCAACCAGAATTTAAATAATGCCACAGACTGTTAAAAGTCCAACCCTACTTTTCAAGAATTTGTCAACACTTTCTAATATGCCTTATTCTTTAACTCGTGTTTTTAAAATTCTGGGTAGAAAGAATTTTAGAGATGTAATCAGTTGTTCAGCTTACACAATAGATACCTGACAGTCCCCAGTCCTCTTAAACAAGCAAGAAAGGGAGGGTCATAATTAGGGTTGCCTTTTGGGAGGAGAAAACTAAGTATTGCTATTGCCAAATGATATTTTTGATAATGTAAGGAAACACAGGGACCACAAAACTTTTTTTTTTTAATGTGAAAGATTAATGTAGTGTCTTTTGGCATACTTTTGATTTTAGAGGGTATTTTAGTACAGTATCAGCACTGACAAATCATATAGATACAAAGAACTCTATAGATTATGACAATATTAAAGGTTGACCCTGATCCTGCAGAACAGCTTTTTAAGATACTGTGGGGGCCTCAGAGCAGCATGTGTCAGATGGAAATCTTCCACAGATTGAAATGCCGAAAACATATAAACCCTATTATGTTGACTCACATAGTTTAGTCCATTTTAGGAGAGCTTTTACCATTAAAACCAGTGATGAAAAGTATTGCATATGAACCTCTCCCGGAAGCGCTGCTCCCTCCCCAGGTGAGCCTGGACTCTCTGTGGGTTGGGTCACAGCAGGTAGCACCTGTCACACCCCTGTTCCCCTGTTGGACAGGCTTGTTCACAGTCTCAGACCAACCCTTCAGTCAGAAATGATACTGGTAGGGGAAAGGGCTTTTTTTCTCCATGTGGAAATGAAGAGAAAGGAATGTAAATGGCAAACAAAAATGTGAAGTCAGTATGGCAAAGCCATGGCTCTGTCATCTGGGCCTTCGTCCAATAACAAACCAGCATCTCGTAACAGTCAGCACTGTTCATCTGGAGACCCCTGAGGTTTTGGTCCTGTCTAGTCGACTTCCTGTCCATTGCACTTTTGTGTGCCTGTTGCTTTCGCCTCTGAGTTGGGAATGCATTGAGAAACGACGGACATCTGATATATTCCCATGAAATAAACTGCCAGCACACTTTCTAACTTGTATTTTAACTGTTAAAGAAACGATTTTAAAAACCTTTTGCTTAGAATATGTCCAAATTACAGACTCTATTTCTTATTTTTAGAAATCATTCTTTACGCTTAAAATTTTAAAAGAAAAGAAAAAAAAATACCTTCTGAGATATTGATAGTCCTCTGTGTAAATGTTCTCTTCTCTTCATGCTGCCATTAAGCCAAAATAAAAGCTGTGAAAAAAAAAAGTGCTTGAGGGAATGTGTGTTGATAAGTGATTTATCTTTGTTTCATGAAGCTACCAAACTTTACAAAGAATATCGCCTTTTTGTCTTTGTTATGAAACCTGGAGATTGTAAAATGGGAGAAAAAAGTTGTTTTTGTTGAATTTTTGATGCTGGCACGAGGTTTTTGTCCACTTTTTTTTCATATATTGGTGTATAAAAAATTCTGTTGTTTACTATGGATTAGTATTACATTTGAGGTAAACTAAAGAATTTGTATTGCTTGATAAAACTATTAGCTTGTAAATTTTAAAAAGTTTCTTTACCTCAATTAACTTAAAGTAATGGACCAATAAAACTATAAAAGATGCTTTCTCTACCTTGAAATCATGTTCTCACTTGTGCCTTTTTGTAGGACATAAAAAAACACATGTGCCTCTTTTTCTCTTTTCTGATAGTCTCTGAATACCAATCCGTTTGCCTACAAGTATTGGGACTTACAGAGCAACAGGGAAAAAAATATATATTTTTATTCTTCTTTACAGACCCATCCTCAATTTATCCTCTCCTGCATCTTACAAATTGGTACCAGTTCAAGGAGATGAAGAAACCACCTAGTGTAGTAACCATCATGGTTGCTGGGCAGCCGGACAGCCCAGGTGTTTATTACATGGAAGATTTCCTCTTGCCCCAGTCCCATAGCAACGCCCAACAACCAGGTCAGGGCCAGTCATAATTTTGGTTTTGTGGGCTGTTAGTGATGTTTTTAAAGAATTTGTAAGGAAAGAGGAAATGTCTGTGGTTTATTAGAGTGTTGCAAATTTGAGGCCAGTGAAGTTTACCTAATGAGGGTAACACATCGGACTTCAGTGGACTCAAAATGGTGCTGAACTTGGTTTGCTGACAGTAGACACCATTCATCTAAGACTGCAGTTGTACAAAATGCAGCAAGGCAGAATAAGAGAGATTCGGGATCGAATCTCAGCTTTTGCCACTTACTAGCTGTGTGGCTTTAGGTAAGTCACCTCTCTCCGAACATGAAGTATTGTGATCTTTGAAACGAAGACAAGCCTTCCCTATAGGGTTGCCAGGCAGGCTAGCAATAATGTACACAACGCACCTAAGTGTCTGGTGGATGGACACTCAATATATGGGAGTCCTTTTGGAAAGACTCTTCCTATTGTTTAAATAGGAAGGATCAACTTAAATAGGAAGGATAACAATCCTTCCTGTATGCTTTGTGAATTTTTTTTTTTTTTTTTGAGTCTCTGTCCCGGCAAGAGTGCAGTGGTGTTATTATAGCTTACTGCAACCTCAAACTTCTGGGCTCAAGCAATCCTCCTGCTTCAGCCTCCCCAGTAGCTAAGACTACAGGTGCACACCAACATGCCCGGCTAATTTTTCTATTTTTTGTAGAGACAGGGTCTCTTGCTCATGCTGGTCTCGAACTCCTGGCCTCAAGCAATCTTCCCGCCTCGGCCTCCCTGAGTGCTAGGATTATAGGTGGGAGCCACTGTGCCTGCCCGTGAATATTTTATTTTTTAAAGCAGAATATACTTTTATTTTTCCTGTTTTTTTCTTTTTTAAGAAGATGATGGAAATAGGATGCTGAAGGATTGTGGTCAGATCAAGGCCTGCAGGATAAATAGGAATAGATCGCAAAAGCTTGGCAAGAAGTGAGGGAACAGGCCAGAGAAGAGTTTGAGATCTCCAGCCTGGGAGCTGGAGAGGCTGCCTTTAACCGAAATCAATCAGGAGAGAAATAAAAAAGACGCAGGAAGCTTAGATGGTGGGGTGGGAGAGGAAGAATTTGGTTTGGGTTTAGGTTTGAGGAAATCCAGGTGGAGATGTTGACTATTAGATTGTTGGAAATGGAGTTCCTGAGCCCCTGGGAGTTGACTAGATTTCTTAGGAAGAGAACCAAGTGCAGGGCCTTGGGGGCCTCAGGAATTAATGATGCAGGGAGAGGAAGAGCAGGAGGAGGAGGACCCAGGGAAGGTTTCAAGAACTTTCAGGAAAAGTCAGGCCTGACAGGAGAGGATGGTGGTTCTTAAACTTGAGGGCTTGTGAAGCACCGACTGTTGGACCCCACTCCTAGAATTCGATTTGGGTGGAACCGAATTCTCATATCTAACAGGTTCCCAGGTGACAATTACGCTGCCAGTCCAAGAACCACTGGGTTAGAACATCTGTTAGAAGAAATGGTGTCCCCAAGGAGAGCTGAGAGGTTTGAAACTGCTGCCCTGGTGACAGGTGGGGTTCAAAAGGAGCCAATACTTGGGCTTTGAGAGCCCAGCTCAGGTTAAAAACCACAGGTTTATAGCAGAGTCAACGTGGACAAATAAATTTCTCTGAACACAAAGAGCAAGCTCTTCAGGAGCAGGAGTTATGAGATTCATTCAGGTTGGGGGGCTGGGCTGGGCTGGGGTGGAAGGCAAGGAATCAGAGGAATGAGCGTATTGGTGAGGACGGCTGGAGGATGGACCATGATCTTGACCTCATTGTTCCCATCCCATCTGCTCTGCTCATGTTGCCTGTCTCAATGAGGGGCTCTACCTCCTTCCCGGTGGCCTGAGCCCCAAATCTGAGTCACTCTGGCCTCCATCAGTCCCACCCTCTACAGTTCATCCATCACCAGCTCCTGTGACCAATAGCTCTCAGATATTTCTCCACATGCGTCTACTTTTCTCCACGCTCATGGCTTCTTACCCAGTGTCAGTCCGCCAGTATCCTGCACCTGCTGTGTTGTAGCTGGTCTCCTTCCTGCAAGTCTTGCTCCCTCCTTCCACCAATCCATTCTTCTCAGTGCTGCCAGAGAGCTCTTTCTAAGATGCAAATATAAGCATTCTGTGTTTCTGCTTAAAACCTTCCAACAGGCTTCCCATTTACTATAAAGAGAGATGTTTTCTTCTTTTGAAAGGGATCTTTTATGTTGTCCCTCCTTACTGCTCTGGTCTCATTTCTAGCCTGTCCTTCATAGTTGCCCTCCCTCCTTCCCTTTTTGCTTCCTTTGTATTGAATTCCTAAACCTGGGGACATTTTCACCTTTGGGACTTCCAGCATGTTGTTCCTTCTGCCTGGAATGTCCCCCAAAATCTGGCCCTGGTAACTCCAACTTATCCTCCCGTCTTATGAATAGACGTCACTTCTGGGAAGCCCTCGCTGTTCTCGAAAACCTGGTTGTACCCTTGCATTAGCATTTATCACAGGAAACATCGCTACCTGCTGTTCTTTCCGCGCCATCTGTCAGTACGCTCAGTTGGGGCGGAGACGGTCATGTCTTGTTCTCACTGTATCTCAGCACCTTGCACAATGCTGGGACTTTAGTAGACGAGCCATAAAGTTTTGTTCTTTCCCTGCCAAGGGGCTTAGAGATACAAACTTTCTGAGCCCAAGTGCCCTGAGATGTAAATGCATTCTCTCACTTTGTGTTTTACCCCAGTAAGAATGGCATGTCTGTAAAGAGGGAGTATGACCTGGAAAAGAATGGTTCATACACTCACACTATGAATGCTGATTTTATTAGGAGGTGAGTCTGCTTTTATAGATCCAAGTAAAATAGGCTATAAAAATAAGTACCTCAAAGTGAAATGGTTCTTAACATATCTCCCTTTTCTCCATACCACCCACTTTGGGAAGTATTGTTGGCTGAATGTATTCAACTGAATATGCCATTGGAGCAAGTCTTGCTATTTGCTGCTTACAAGCAACAGTAATGGTAACACTGCCCGGAAGCCACGGGCCTGGGCTCCATTGCTCTCCCGAGTGTTCAAAGCTAAGGAGGGCCTCAGGAAAGAAAGCTAACTTCTTTCAAGGTTTTATTTTAATTTAAAAGCTAGAGTTGTTTGTGCGAAACCGTTGGCAGTTCTTATAAAATGTCTCCTCCTCATTCCCCTTAGGTGTTGAAATGCATGCCTTGGGTTGAGCTTTCCTGCAGGACTCCAGCACAGCAGCCAGGTGACAGTTGGCCATAACATGGAGCCCTCAAGACAGTCTCTGGAAGAAAGGGGGCTGGCTCTCTGCAGCTGGAGCCTGAAGCCCCTTTTCGGGTCTGGAATGGCAGTTCGCAGCCTGCGTCTAACCCTTGAGTTCCTGCTCTGCTGCCAGCAGAGCCTAATCTCTGCCTCATAGGGGCATCTTAAAGCTGAGAAAGTTCTTCCATCACCAGGAAAGTGCTTTTCCCCACCCAGCAGGGACCCTCTGAACCAGAGCGGGTCATTCTGAAGCCAGCTCTGGCTTGTTGGGCAGTGGATTGCTTTGGTCACCAGTTCCCCAGTCCCTTCTTTTGTCTTCAAGGAGGCCTGGCCATTGCTGGTGTTCTCGGCTCCCACCGGTCAGCACCTTCATTTTTCTGTGATGTCTCCATATTGCGACCATGGGACTTGTTTATAGGCCACGATGCTGTAAGAATTTACAATAGAGAGTTACAGGAGAACAGCTGGCACGGGGGATGGCAGGTCTTTTTAGTCACTGAAAGGCTGAGAGGCTGTATCCACTTATGGCACCAGAATGCTCCCCTGAGTGGAGACAGCTGGTCCTAGGGAACTTCTCTCATTCAGGGTTCGTTCTCGTCCGGCAGGTACTGAGCCTGCCCCTGCTTCCCATAACACCATGAGCCCCCAGCACCTGCATTTTGCTTTTCCTGGAATCTCTTTCCATCTCACTTCTGCCTGATAATGAACTCCCAGGTAGATGTCAAGATCAACGTTAGCCTTCGCTAATCCCAAGCAGAATGGGCTGCCTCAAAAAATAAATAAATGAAAAGCAATGAAAGCCAAGTATGGGGTTTTGAGCAGCAGCTGACATGATCTGAGTTACACTTTAGGGAAACTGCTCTGGCCGCCTGGTGGGGAGAAGGTGGGAGGAGAACGAGAACAAGAGGGGATGTGCGGAGACTGGTTCAGAAGCTGACTCAGTCATTGAGGTGCTATGGACGAGGGGTGGTAGCAGTGGAAATAAAGGATGACATTGAGGCATATGTTGGAAATAGAACCAAGGGATAAGGCCTGATGGGCTGGAGGATGGGGGAGACGAGAAAGAGCGGGGATCCTGGGGACCCAGGTCTCCAGCCTGGGCGGGTAGTGGTGCCAGTTAGTGAGAGGGGACCAGGTTTAGGAGGTTATCAAGAACCCAATAAATGGTAATTGGAGCATGGGGAAGTACTGTAGATTGCTTAGAGGATGCAAAGTGAGAAGACAGCCCAGAGCAGAGCCCCAAAGAATACCTGCATTTGGAGGTTTGTAGAGGAGAAGCCATCAGAGAGGTGGGAGAAAAACCAGCAGGAAGAGGTGGTGTGAATGCCAAGTGACAAATACCTTCTGAGGAAAGAGTGATCGACAGTGACAGCGTTAGGGGCTGCCGAGAGATCATGTGAGACGAGGATGGCA